GCATAGTTAAAAGAAAAAGGGGAGAATCAGTCTGGCTGGCGAAGATGTTACATCCGCCTGCGGTAAACATCGACAGTGGCGTGCAGAGGAATTGACATTAAAGCAGGGAACGCGCGCGCGCGTCTGCCGACCTCGCGTATCCCAGACGGACAGACAAAACAAAATTAAACGGATGTAATTCAAGGATACTCCAGTGTAGAGAAGACCGCGTCGCAAACAAGTATCAGCTGACTACGAAAACTGGACTTGATAGAGACTCTAGAGTTGAACAATTATCGGCACGTATCGAAGAGAGTCAATGGTCCAAGTATCGAAGGTCGTGTGCCAATTTTCGAGGAATTTCGAAGCATGCTGCGGTAAGAGAGACACGAAGTAGTCGGAGAATGCAAGATCGTGCTCTAACGGGCAAAGTTAGTCCGGCCCGGCCGCTTAGTCTCTTTATCGGACTCTGCTTACTACTGGTCCACACGATCAATGCATGAATGGGACTCGAGGCACACGTTCACGCACACGATCACGCAGCGACACGACGACGACGACGACGACGGCGGCAGCATCGTACTCTTCCAGAGTGTATTACGCGGCGTGGAGCCAAAATCATCTTCGAGATAAGCTCGCTGAACGAACGATTGACACTGGGATAACCGGTGTACGGGGGAGAAATGTATCGTGTGCACGGTCAATGGCACGGTGTCGATCGTCCAGCGACGAAACACGCCGACTTAATTGCTAGATCCTTGCGTTAGAATCGCGCGGATAGTGCACGAGTAGTTTGACAGATCCGCGGAGTCGATGCCGCGCGCTAATCACGAGATTACGCCTACGAGAACTCACCGACACCGTATTTGGTCGTTTTCGTCGTCGTCCACATCTCGAGCGGCTCGACCACGGCGCTACATGCCTTGCCAAACGGCCACCAACCACTCGTAATATCACGAAAAATTCAAAAACACAAACATTGGGTGTGTTTGCCGCACAAGTGCCACCCCCGCCACTTCTGCGCCGGTCACGTGCACCTCAGGAGTGTATCTACTCGGTGATCGGTGCTCCTTCGTTTCTCGGAACTCGAATATTTTCTTTTTTTTTTTTCTCTTGTGCACATTTTTGCAATCGACCGTTACAATTTCTCGAAATATCGAAAGTTGCGTCGTAACGATTGGATAATATATACATAAGTACTTGCCGAATACAAGTGACCTAGTACGTATTCGCTGGACCGTTTACCATTATGAGCCTATGAAATTTCAAGTATTTCAGATGTACGATTTTAGATCGTAACTGTCAAGGCGAACCCTCCCCTTACGAAACCGAGTAAAAGGCTTTCGATAACGTAACGTTGGAAAAACTTATCTCCGTATGTTGAAGATTATTCGAATAACGTGCCACAAGGTTATGCGTGAAATTTAGTTTTATACGTGGAAATAATTCCACAGTGGTAGATTACTAATTTATTTAAATAAATACAATAGTCAAGAAACGAAAATAAACCTACTATAAAAGGTGCGATAGTTTCATAAATTCTTTTATACTTTATTTACAACTGTTCTTCCTTATGCGATTAAGCGACGATGAGACCTATGCGCTAAATGTACAGCGCAACGTGAAGTTGGAACGTAGACTAGATCGAAGCTACGATGAATCGAAATATGTAACATTTCACACGTTATTTTAACAATGTCTTTAAAAGTTGATGGGTTTGCCGAAATACGCTGCCAAGTGAGCTTCCTTCAAGGCTTCCGCACACGTCTGTAAAAGTATCGATAAAATCAGTACGCGACGTTCCATATTCGATGGAACCATATCGTTCGAGTACTTACCGGATGTGCGTGACACGTTCTCGCAACGTCTTCTGCACTTGCTCCATATTCCATTGCGAGGACTGCCTCGTTGATCAGTTCACCGGCAACTGAACCGATCATGTGTACTCCCAATACTTTGTCTGTATTCTTATCGGCTAACACTTTAACGAAACCTTCCGTGTCAAGATTCGTCTTTGCCCTGGAGTTCGCTATATGCGGGAATTTGCCAACTTTGTAATCGATACCCTCCTTCTTTAAGTCTTCCTCTGTCTTGCCAACCCAACCAACTTCAGGATGTGTGTATATTACGCTTGGTACGCAGTTGTAATCGATATGAACGGCACCTGTACAGAGATAACGTAACATTCGTAATCGTTGTTAATTTTGTACGTGGTACAAAATGAAAAATTTACAACGGGTATAATTACCTCCAGCAATGCCTTCCACTGTAATCACACCTTCATCCTCAGCTTTGTGAGCCAACATGGGTCCGTGGATACAATCTCCGATCGCGTAAATTCTACGAAAGCATCACGTCTTGTAGGAAACGGTCGGAAAAAATGGCAGACAATTTATACTTACGAAGGTACTACTGTTTGGAATCTATTATTTACGGGGATCCTGCCTTTTTCGTCTCTCTCGATTCCCATATCCTCTAATCCTAAATTCGCCGTGTATGGCCTTCTGCCGACACAGACTAAGAGGACGTCGCACGGAAGGTCCTCCTTTTTGCTAGGATCTTTCGCATCTTCGACGGAAACAAGGATTTCGCTGCCTGTCTTTTTTGCGGCAGTTACTTTCGTTCCCAATTTGAATTTCAAGCCTTGCTTGGCTAAAATTTTTTGTAACGTTTGACTAACTTCGCCGTCGATACCGGCTCCACCGATCGACGGTAAGAATTCGACTGCTGTTACTTCAGAGCCCAATCTGTAACAATCGATAGACAGAGTAACTAAAGATACTTATATTCTAGCGTAAATAATCTTTGATAAAAAAAAAAAGAAAAGTACCTTTGCCAAACTGAACCTAATTCCAGGCCGATGACGCCAGCACCAATTACTATAAATCGTTTAGGTATTGCGCTCAACGATAACGCTCCGGTAGAAGATACAACTTGTTTTTCGTCAATTTCTATACCCGGGAATGGTGAAACTTCGCTACCAGTTGCAATTATAATATTTTTCGTGTTAATTGTATTTACTACTGAACCATCTGGACCAAGTGCAGACACTTGATTTGGACCGGTAATTTTACCATGGCCTTTAACCCATTCTACCTTGTTCTTTTTATACAAACCGGCAATACCACTGGTTAATGCTTTAACTACATTCCGCTTTTGTTCCATCAGTTTATCAAGATTAAGCTTGACATTTTCAACTGGAATAAGAAAGTAATGTAAATAACCATTAAGTTACAATGTTGCACGTTGGAAAGGATAAAAGACATACCTATGATACCACGGTTTTGCAGGTCCCCACTATGTGCCATGTGATAGTAATGTGAATTATTCAAAAGAGATTTTGATGGAATGCATCCAACATTGAGGCATGTCCCACCCAATGTATCACCTTTTTCTACACAAACAGTTTTCATGCCTAACTGTGCAGCTTTAATCGATGCCACATAGCCCCCTGGGCCACCACCTATTACTACAAGATCTGCTTCTAAATTGCTGGCATATCTGCGTTGTTGGGCAACTGTCAAGCCAGGTATGACGCGAGTGACACATGTTGGCTAATAAAAACAAAAAAAGAAGATTATTCCTTGAAAAGAATCAAATTACTTTCCATTATTTCAATTTCTGTGTTTTCTTAATTTCTGAAAGAATCAGATGTAGATGACATAACCAACGAGGAACAGAAAAAGTACTTTTACGTTAAATAATGAATTTGAGTGCCTAATTTGGCTCTTTCAAGCATTGGATCAATGTTCCATTGACCGAAGGAATCGGTAGCGAAAATAATTCATCGAGTAATTCAACAGAATATGTAAGAAAACCATTTGTCCTTCAAAACGTTACGAAATAGCCTCTAATATGAATGGTCCGATATGCGGTCATGATCCATCCATGAGACTATTCAGTGCTAAATATTTTCTTCGAGAAACTTACTCTGACAGAGGTAGTCACTAAACTCCAAAAACTAGCTTGCATCATCATTTTTCCAAGGTATTCCACTGTCCAATATAGGGGGGGTCAAATAGACAACGGGTTCACGGCAGTGTAAAGTGAGCACTACCGGTTACTTCAATATCGTCTAACTCGCCCGAGCTCTGATAGTTCGATATAACTTCGGCTATGTGTTTCATGATTTTCACTGTTCGATGGCGCTAGTAAGCTGTTATGCAACACGAAATAACGTTAACCCTTTCGTTCCGTTCGTGCAACATGTTTGAATCAGCCTGGGTAGATCTATAATCTTTTTTACAAAATCTTTCCATTAAAAAGAGAATATTTTAAATTTCAACCGTACTCAACGGAACGTTCGAATTGTAATTTGACCTTGACATTCAACAGTTTAAATCTGAATTGGAAAATTTTTATTCGAAGAAACGATATTCCACTCGATAAACGAATTAATCGTTATAATCTTATCTACATATATATTTATATATGTATACTTTATTAAATACGATTACATTGCATTTTAGATTAGTATGTAATGACCAGCTACGTTTTTACGCGGAAATACGTACGTTATTCACATGTACGAAAATTGCGTTCTTGCGAAATACTTTTTGTCTGTTGCAAAAACAAGGGATGGTTATCGAATTAAAAGAGAAAAAAATATTTAATATCCTGAATGTTCAGAAATCGTTAGTCGAAATTTGTGCCATCTTGCGGATACGTGAAAAAATGTCACAACATTCGAATCGATCGACGCACGAACATTTTAACTGTAGTCGATATCAGAAACTTCTGTTTTAAACAGTGGGTTCTATTTGAACTAACGAGTCTGTTTCGTCGAGGCCGTTGGTTGGTTCTTACAAGCTGTAACAATTTTTATTCCCCGCCAAAAAGGGTGACGATCGAAGAGCCGGAAAAGACTGCGCAATAAAACGGGTAAGCCAATAATAGAGAGTGGGACAAAGAGGGAGAATACGTAAGGGGTCGAGGGAAAAGGGCAACAGATGTCCTTCCGTATGACGCCATGACTCGTTTGGCCCTTGGCTAGATAGTACCGTTTGCGTCTCTCTACCTTGCGGAAGTATCGTGCGTTACGAATACGAGGCTAGGTCCTGTCGTTGGAAACCGGTTAGTATTCGCCGTGTCGACGAAATCAATCGCATCTCCATGATTTAATACGGAACGATCTTGCGAAACGTTTTTACCATAGTTTTTCTTTCTACGTTCGTCCCACGTTTCTCGCGTCTGAACCAATGTAATCTTATTAGCAGTAGCTCGTTCGTGATTGGTTGAATTTAAATCGTCTAGTACTTCGTACCTTCGTCAAGGCGTAGGAAAAATAACGTTCACCAGCGCAGTTACGTAAATGTTTGTAATTTACAGGGATATATTTGGTAAACGAGAAATAGCAATAGTGACGTATGGTCAAGGTTATCGAGGAGAATAAGTCTAGGATGACGTTCGAGTCGAATAGTTCCGAGGAAATGTGAATAATCTAATCGGGGAGGTGTATCGAAGAAAAGGAGAGGATGTGCGAAATAGTAAAAGGCCAGCGTAGAACGTTTCGGGATCAGGATCCACCGCGAATATGCAAGAGAAGCAACGACAACTTGAAAAGCGACCTTGAATTTTCCAAGTCGACACCAAATTCGCCGACGATCCTTCAGCGTGCGTCCAGCTTGGAGAAGTGCTTCAGCGAGCCGGAATTCCTCGAGAAGGACCGGCAGAATTGGAAAAAAGAGAAAGGAAAGTTGGCCACGCAGGAAAGTACCTCGTGTGATTCTGTTCGAGGCTCGGACGACAGTGTCAAGGCACCTGAGACAATTGAACAACCTGGTTTTTCAAATCGAACCAATTCCGAGAACTTGTTGAAAGAACTCTCCGACAAAGTGCCTTCGTCTGGGCGCCACAACCATGAGGTATGTTTTCTTATTTTTTTTTTACCATTTTTACATCGCGTACGTTTGTGTGAAAAGTATCAAGTATTTCTACCAAGAAAATACCATAGCCGGACAAAACGTATACGTGCAACTGCGTACAATACGTTGACCTTCGTGTCACCTTGTCGAGCAAGTCGGTACTACGTGTCGAAACGTATTTGCAGGTTAACGAATATCGGATCGGTCGATCGTTACTTTACCGGTATCAAGTGAAAAGGAAAGATAAGTGAAATTGAGAATGAAATATGAGAACGTTAACTCGATAAAACAGAAGCGAGGATATTTAAGGTGTTCTCGGTTTAAAAACTGCGCGAGATGATTTGCTGGTTGGTCGTCGGATGAGCGCACGTCAGATACGATTCTCTTACACGTGTGAAAATCGAGGGAATCGTGGCGGTCTCGAGGCACCGTGTCGACCGATCGATTGCGTGGAGGAGGGAAAAAGAAGTGAAATTTTCGACGTCACCCTGTATAGTCAATATCGTGTTTACCATTTCGAACGGATGGTGTAAACGAAAGACGACAGAATAATCAGTTGAACGTCTTGTCGACCTGCCTTCGGTCACAAAGAACCGGAAAATGAGATTTTCCCCCTTTCTTACGACCCTTCGTGAAATCCTAAGTTTTATTCGATCGTCGAATCCGCGAAGACGTTTACGTGCTTACGCGTATCGCGAAAGTTGAGTCACAGGATTATCGCGGCGCTTGATAATGTGGATTGCGGTATTCGAATTGCACAGTGCATTGTTACGAGTCCTGTTGTACCGGTGAAATATCCGAGCAATATCCATCCAGTCCATTCTTCTCGATGTTTCAACGTATACACAGCACGGTTCCGGCTTATATTCACCGACCAGACTCCGCTATGAACTGTGTATTTTTGGTGCATACTTGACGATACGGCTACGGTGAACTATAATACATGTGCATACGATGCACGCGTTTCCTCTGAAATCGCGGTTCGTACAGGCACAATTAAGCGAGGCTGAGGGACACGTGGCGGAGGTATGTGACAACGTGACGCAAGTTAAGACGTAATTTCAGCGTTCTCGATTTTTTTTCGCGTTTTAGTTTCAATCTTCCACGGGTTCGATCTGCGAACGTGTGTACCCTGGGGTAGAGTTTGAACGTAGAAATCGAACGGGGGGGGGATAACCGCGAAGTATAGGCAAGATTGCAATGGATATAGCATCTGAAACTAATTGCAAGATTTCTCGCGACGTAGCGAAGTACATATCATCAATCAGAGAAAGAGAGAGTTATTTGCGTTGGAGCACGAGTCTCCGTGGTTCTACGACGATTTATCGTCACGCGCCTCTCTGAACTAAGATTAAAGTCGTTCCCGAGATCGTGGACCGTCGTCCTTGGAATGGAAACGTTTCACGGTGAATTTAATTCTGCTCTCGATGTCTCTATATACGTGCTGTACCATTTCGACCATTCAACCGTACACATTATCGACGATTAAAAGTGAAGCCCGTATTCGTTGTAAATTTTTTATCCACGATAACGTGATTCAGTTGGACAAAACCAGTGGCGACAGATGCTTCCTCGCACGAAACATTCCCAGAAGAAGCGTGTTTAAGGAGAAATCCGGTGCCTTCGTTGCGACCACAGGGCCCTAAGATGAATTAGGTTCGGACCTGGAAGATGCGGGCCCCAGGTCCGTTGCAGGTTCTTTTCCATCGAATGCCTTCCTTTGTGTGGAATTCGATTTAAGTTGTATTCACACCGAACTCCTTTTAGCCAGCGATAAACGCCCCGTTACGTCGAGGAAATCTATCTTTGTGAAATTCGTTCATTCGGTCGATTATTTCACCGGTTTGCATCGAGCGTGGAAAGAAAATTTACTACGTGAACAGGGTGATTGACCGACTGTGTTGAAATATTGACGAGGAAACCTGCTATTTCGGGGCCGTGTAATTGTGGACTCTGGTACACAGGCCGCGAATCATCGGTTGATAAATATTTCATTGGCTGTACGCCGAGCAGAAATTCTTCTTCAACTAAAATCGAGAGCTTCCAGTTTCCTGCGATGTAACGACGCCGGTTGAAATTGGCTGGAATCGTAACGGGAAAAAAAAAGAAGATGAAATTGTTAGGAATTGGTGTCCGTGTCGAAGACGGCAGGCCAGTCGGTGGGTAGAGGTTCGGTGTGAAAGCAGCTTATTAAGGTCGGGCTTAGCGTGGTGTTGCGGTGTGCAGCTTGCCTGGCAGCTTCAGTTCGATGTTTACGCTCGTGCTTGGAACATTTTTCTTCGGGGCTGCGCGCGGTTCGCAGCGTGATTCCACCGAGTGTTTTGTCTTTTCCCCCGTGGACAGGAAGGATCCGCTCCGCAGTGTCTATCCTCTCCAGTGAGTGATTTTATACGAATATCTTGCCATTCTAGCCGGACGAAATTGGATCCCCGACACGACGTGTTCGATACGTTAGCGGAGATTTTGCGTAGGGGTAACATATTTACGGTGTATTTGCCGGGACGATAGGCATCGTCTAGTCTATTCTGGCATCCTTTGTCTCGTGCTTGCTCCAATCTAACCGGAATTCTTTCCCGAGGAAGCGTAATCGAGTAACCCTTGAAATCTCGTAATTTCGCGTGGCTCGTGCAACGATGCAGCCCTTTAAACAGCGCGATGACACGCGGATCGTTCGTATTTGCGTGGTTGGACGATCGTGAAAACGAAACGATACGAAATTCTCAGGTATTTCATAACGAGAACCGTGTCGATGGAAATTGCGAAAGCCGCGGCGAACGCGGCGAACGCGGCCTCCGCAACCGCTACTTCGGTTCCTGGTGAATGAACTTTCTCCCTTGTCGTGTATCGAGTATTTTAATTGAACCGCATTTTCGCTTTCACCGCCCAATTTATCGCCGAAAATCTCGCGAAACGTCGGGGAATTGGTACGATATCGAGAGTATACACTCGATTTACTACGTTGAACGAAGAACGTCGATACCACGGACCTTCTTACGGTCGATGATTGATTAATAGGAAACGGCGGGTTATTAACATCGACCGTGTCTGATCAATTTTCCGCCGGAGGAAAACGACGGGAGGAGCGAGAAGGGGGGCAAAGAAAATAACAGTCGGAAGGGATAAGTGAAATTCCGAAAATCTAAGAGCACCTGGTGAATTCGAATAGAGAAAACGTTTCGTTTACTGGATCACTCGGTTAGAGGGAGCATTTCGCCAGGCGATTTTCCAAACGAGAGAGACACGGTACGATCGCTCGAGCACGCGGTCGAGTCGGACGATTAAAAATTCATAAGTAATAATTTAACAGCGTTAGGCTGTAGCGCGGTGCAACGAACGAGATAAATGCCCGATACACTTGGAAAGCGCGAGACTACCAGTTTTGCAGCATTAATTAACCGACAAACTGGTTATGCCGCGTTCGAAACTAGATTCCGTAGGTGAGGTTATCGTAAGGTTGCTCTCCAGTCTGTACCGAGCTGACTCCAATCGTACAAAGTGATCGACGCGTTTTAATTCGTCCTCCTGCCTTACCTTTTCCTATCCAGTTTCAATTCGAAGGAGAATCGATCGGGAGGAAAGGATACTTTTGTCCTCCCGAGGTCAATTTTCCGAAAGATTGAAGGTTCGGTGCTTTCGACCTCGTAGGAAGCAATTATTGTCAAATTAATCTTGGCAACGGGCTGCCGCGGCGCGCATTCGACCGAGAGTCAGGCAAAAGTGCACTTGCCTGCCATTGTTCCACCGCTCAACGAGATTCTGAACCTACGACTTGCCCTCTCTCTGCTATTCTCCTTTTCCCTATTGTCGTGGAACGTGGTTACATTATCATTCGTTATAATTCACTTACCTGGCCGTTCCACCACGGCTCTGGTTTTCTCCAAACGAGCACGTCGACGTCGCTATCTAACAATCGTGAATTTCATCGATTAACGATCGTATCATTTTTCTCCGCGGCCTGTAGAAGTCAATTTACGATAGTTTCTTCCGCGAAGACTGCGGAGAGGAAATTTTATTTCGAGAAAGAGGAAACAATCTGACTTGCATAACACAGCTGTAATATTAGTTGGCTTCTATTACGTACGTATATGCCGACTTGAGCGTACTTGCGTCAAAGGCAAATATCAAAATCACGATTACGGTGGAAAAAGAAGAACGGCTGTTTATCTATCGTAAATTAGCGTGTTCGTGAAACGCGCGGTATCATGCTGCGTAATCAGAAAGTAAAGCACCATTACGGCACGCGAAATTCGCGAATCCGTATGAAATTTCCACAATAATACGCAATACCGAATGATTCCTCGCTTGTTGTTCCCGACGTTTACGCCAACTTTTCCCGCCGGTCGAAGGAAGGTCTCTCCTCGTTGCGTCACCTGAGAATTGGTCCGAAGCGAGAAGATCGTTTGACCTCAGCATTTCTCTTCATAGCTTTGCCGCGATTGTTTCGTCTTTCGAGAGGTCAGAAAGTTCGGAAGAAAGGTAGAAAGCACGTCGTCGTCACGCGACCAGCGACATCTCGCCGCTGACGTGTCGCGTTCGGAGTAATAAATCGCTTTTCCACGACTCTCCGATCCGAGATATCCGCTCTCGTTTGATTCCGGCTGTTCTCCGCAGAGGACGTGCAATCGGAAAAAATTGCCCGTCCTAATTTCAATATAACGACTCGATTATCTTCCATCGAGACGAGACTCGAATTGCTCCGACGACGATCTTTCAACGGGAAGGAAGGCTCGTCGTCCCTATCTTCTGCCAAGCTAGCAAGAACAATAATACCTTTGATCGCGTTATCGTGCCCCTCCTCGCTTCCTTTTCGATGTCGATAAACAGCCAACTTTATGGACAGGCTTATGCATAACGGGCACGTGTGCGTTCGCCTTCTTTTATACGCCTCACGACGATCGAACGACTTTCCTGTCGCCTTATCGCGTTATACCGAGTGTCCTCTGACCAGACGATTCTTCGTGAATATCTATCTAACTGAAACGTCGTGCTGTTTCACGCAG